GCACACCGCTTAGATGGCAGCACTATCTTCTCAGTGGTGGACCACGTAAAGACCTACACACAAATTCCTGTAAACCTGGATGACGTTCCAAAGACCGCAATTATTACGCCTTTCGGTCTATTCGAATTCCCTTGCATGAGGTTTGGTCTCCGCAACGCGGGGCAAACCTTTCAACGCTTCATCGACGACGACATCCGCGGCGTAGACTTCTGTTTCGTTTACCTAGACGACATCTTGATCTTCTCCCGCAACAAAACAAAACATCGCCAACACCTTCGTCAACTGTTCCAGCATCTCGACGAACACGGCTTACTCATAAATGTTCAGAAGAGCACGCTTGGCGCCCCCGTTGTCACGTTTCTTGGCCATGAAATCTCTTCAGAAGGAACTAGACCCTTGCCTGACCGCATCCTGGCCCTGAAAAATTACGCGCTGCCTGCGACAGCGAAGAACCTCCACCGTTTCCTGGGCATGTTCAACTTTTACAGGCACTTCGTGCCTAAAGTGGCCACATATCAAGCCCCTCCCTTTGCATAATGCGTTGTCCGGCCAACGCGGCAACCATCCTGTCACTTAAACCCCAGCTTTAACGCATGTGTTTGAAGACTGCAAAACTGCCCTCTGCAACGCTACGCTGCTCTCTCATCCCAAGCCAGAGGCATCCCTGGGTCTTTTCACAGACACCTCTAGCACCGCTGTCGGAGCCTCTGTCATGCAGCGTGTGGGAAACAACTGGCGCCCCTTGGCGTTCTTCTCAAAGAAACTCTCTTCCCCGAAGCCACCCCCATTTCCTGCAGCATTAGCGATGCAACCTCGTCCCCTGCGGAGACAACCTGGCCAGCCTACTACAGAGAGCTCCTTGTCATCTACGAAACAGTCCAACACTTTCGCCACATCCTCGACGCACAGCACTGCACCATATACACCGACCATAAACCTATCACTTACGCCTTCTCCTAACGCCGCGAAAAACTTCCACCGGTCCAGCAGAACCAGCTGTCCTTCATCAATTCACCACAGATATCCGCCACATCAGCAGAAAGGAAAACATTGTCGCCGACGCACTCTCTCGCGTCTCGGCTGTCGAGCTACCAACCGTTACAACCGACACCCTCGCCAAAGCTCAGAAAACGGACACCGAACTCCAGCAGCTCCTCGAGAATGGCTCTTTCCTTCAACTTCAAAAAGTTACCATTCCAGGGTCAACGGGCGCTCTTTACTGTGACATATGAACAGGACAAGTGAGACCATGCGTCCCTTCTTTGCATGGACGAAGCCTATTCAACCAGTTACACAACCTCAGTCATCCTGGCATCCGAGCTTCTACACCCCTCGTGACTTACCGGTACGCGTGGCCCTCAATGCAACGGGACTGCCGCACCTGGGCACGCACATGCATTCAATGCCAGCGCGCCAAAATCACCCAGCACTTCACGTCGCCACTCGAAGAGTTCCCCCTCTTGACGGAACGGTTCTAGCATGTGCACATCGACATCATTGGCCCCCTCCCACCAGCCGGTCCCTTACCGCTATTGCCTCACCGCCATCGATCGTTACACGCGTTGGCCCGAGGTGTGGCCGCTCGAAAGGATCACCGCAGAAGATGTCGCGTCAGCCTTCTTCTCCGGCTGGGTTTCAAGCTTCGGCACTCCTCGTCGAGTCACTACCGATCAAGGAAGGCAATTCGAATCTCAACTCTTCAGGCTCCTCGGGCTCTCAACCGGCTTTGAGCGTTCACGGACAACTAGCTACCACCCTTGCGCCAACGAATGATTGAACGGTTTCACGGCAGTTCAAGGCAGCCATAATGTGCCATCCTCACTCAACCTGGCTCGAAGCTCTCCCCGCCATCACTCTCGGTCTGCGCACAACTTTCAAGCCAGACGTTCAAGCCATGCCCACGGAACTCATGAACGGGGAGTCGCTTCGCCTACCTGGAGAACTCCTCTCCACTCTGACCTCTGATGTAACCAGCTCGGATCCTGCAGACTTTGTCGCTCGACTCCGTCGCACAATGGGTGCGTTGCGCCCCTCACCAGCGGCTCGCCACACCAAGCCGACCCCGTTCGTGTTTAAAGACCTGGCAACATGCTCGCATGCCTTCCTCCGCGAGGACACCGTACGCTCACCTTTCCAGCTGCCTTACTCCGGACCTTACAAAGTCATCTGTCGCGACAACAAAACATTCACCTAGCAAATCAGTGGAAAGGATGTACGAGTTTCCATAGACTGCCTAAAGCCATCATTTATCCTTTACTAGGAGCCTAGCAACCCCCGCACGCCTCCCGTAATTCACCGACAACAGCCCACAACGCCTAAGCTCGCACCCTACACCACCCGCCTTGGACGCCAGATGGGAGTCCCCAAACGTCTTTAACCCTGACGGCTCCTATGAGCGTGGGGGGGGGGGAGGAGGGGCAAAACGGGTCGTCGCCGCTTTTTCTCCTTGCGCGTCACGGCGATGCCTCCAAACATGGGCGCCAGTGATAAGAACACTCTCAGTCCGAAATGAGCAGGAAAACTGTGTGTGTGCCCCGATTAAGGGGCAGTTGTTGTAGAACCTTAAGTGCGGAAATATTAAAGTTATGTTATTCCACACATTCGTCATGACTACAGCATACACGTAACAGGCAAACTTCAGTAACCCATACACGCGCTAACTATGGTAAAGCTAGACTAGAGTATTGCCTACCAATTCTTTTCAACTCCTTGAAAACCCATGAAAATTTCAGTGCCTCTTTTAATTACTTAAAATCAGATGTGCTTGATTACTTGATGAAGCTATAATTTTTTCACAATGTTGTACGCAATGTTGTACCAGTGCTCCGATGTTCTTCGTATGTGACTTTTAGACTTTCTTCGTATTATGCTGTTTCGTTTTGTTGACAGTTTTACAACTTTCTAGAATTCGCTGCATTTGCTGCCCTCTGTAAGCCTCCAGGTTCTACCAAGCTGTTTTCAAAGCTTTCCGCCAGTGGGACCACTGACAAATCAGTGGGAAACAAAGTGGATTCTGATTGTACTATACTGAGTGCTTCAAGAAATGTGCCCAGTATTATTTAAATATTAAACAAACAAAATATGCATCTGCGTTCTTTACCTGCGGCACTCCTGTTTATTTGGCAGAAGGCATATTCTGATGTGTAGAAACCTTAGTTACTGCAGTAATTATAATAAGTAAAAAGAAATAGCTTTTAAAGCACTGAAAATAAGCCAGTCGAGTCAGATAGGTAGTTATAGTTCACCCTGGGAAAAGTCAATAGCAACTTGAAAATTTTGCAAAAGCGGCCATTACCATTCATTGCTCAGCAATAAACTCTTGATAATTTAGCTGAATGAAAGTGAAATCAACGTAACAAACAGTGCAGCTACCATTCACTTCAAAAGTTTTGTCAATGAATAGTATTAAGAAATCATTCAAAAGGCAGATTGTTTGATTGATTGATATGTGGGGTTTAACGTCTCAAAACCACTATATGATTATGAGAGACGCCGTAGTGGAGGGCTCCGAAAATTTAGACCACCTGGGGTTTTTTAAGGTGCACCCAAATCTGAGCACACGGGCCTACAACATTTCCGCCTCCACCGGAAATGCAGCCGCCGCAGCTGGGATTCGAACTCGCGCCCTGCGGGTCAGCAGCCGAGTACCTTAGCCACTAGACTACAGCGGCGGGGCAAAAAGCAGATTGTTTAATATATTTAAAATTGTAAATAATGATTGTACACATCTGACGATGCCTTTTGCCAAAGTGAATAGTACGCCGCAGGTAACACGCAGATGCTTTATTCTGTAATTTTTAAATATTATTGAACAGATTTCTCAAAACACCCTGTACCAGGGCCTAATACGGGCCTGACTCAGGCCTAACCCGAGCCCTAGGCTCATGGGCCCGAGCCAGGTTAGACAACGCCTTGCCCAGACCGTGTGTCGGGCTAGGCCTTGGCTTTGAGATTGCCCGGGCCCGTGCATTCCTCTACTACCGCTTCTATTTCATTTTTTTTTGTTAGTTTTTATCAACCACTTTATTTATTTGATGTTTTTTATCTTTACACCGTGGTTTCTGTATTACATTTGTATTTAACTTCCCCGAGTGATGCCTCCAGGCTCTGAGGAAGCAGTGAATAAAGAACTAAATCAATAAATAAAAAATCTGTGCTATATGCTCATTCAAATCTACCGCCGGAGAATAAAAAATGCTATTTTTTGGTGTCACTTCACGTTATGCAATCAACTCATTTCTGGAAGATTGCGGTAATGCTCAAGCTGAAAGTTTTGGATGGACAAGTCATGGCAAGGCGCCCATGATGTTCTTTCGATACTGTTTCAAGTACAGCAACTACCCAACCCTCACACAAGCCTAACATTACGAGGCTACTCCTTTGTATTTGTGACAGCATTGATTGACCCGATAGCCGTCTATGCGCAGTAGACACCCGCTGAACACGCATAGTAAATCTCGTGTTGGAACCAAATATCACCAACGTATCAGTAGCTGTAAGCACAACGTCTATAATAGCAAGCCATACTGCTAACATTTAAAGATTTGTGTCCTCGACTGTAAACACAAAGTTATAGAAACGTTTTTTTTTCACTCCTAGACTGACAGCCACTGTGTCTTTCGTTGTCGTTAGCGCAATAAACTAGGCCTCATAAGGAAAGTTTTCGTGGTGGTGTCGATTAGACTAAAGCAAGCCAGGGGCCACTTGACAGGGCTATATAGCCAAGAACAAATTCGTCCAGTGTGTTTCACGCGGCAATCTTCATAATACGGTGAAATATACTTGCCATTAGTTTGTTTATCTGTGGGGAAGGAATGGCAAAATATATTTAATGGCACAGCCCACACTGCGCTGTAAGTTTGCAAGCAATATTTTGCACTTCCAAAACAAATATACTTGACATATTATTAAATATTGTCGTTAATTGTGGATTCCGTATAGCTCTTGCTTTGTGATTTAGATTGTATTTCCATCTCACTTTCTGTTTCATTATTTCGCAGACGGTGAAGGATGTTTGCACAGCCGTCATCTACGACGTACCTTGGCTCAAGCAGCGTTCCGTGACGTCATTCACCTGCGAGGGCACCGCCACTTCAAATTAAGGTTGTCTGCTGAGGAGGCTGGCTGTTAGAGCACCAGAAAATCTTGTTTGGCTTGCTTTTTCGCATCCTAATCACAGGCTAAATAAAGCTGAAATAATTTTTGAGCTTTAATATGTGTCAGTTTTGATAATTTTCCTTGAACACCAGTTTAAGGAAGAAGTTTTATGAGCTACTTATACAACTTGTAGTCATGACAAGAATTACACAGTCAATGGGATACATTTCTAAAAGGGCTTCCTGTCAAAAATGTTTTCATTTTCGGCCATTTATCTCGTAAACGTAGTTTTGCTCAAGTGGTCGTAATCAATCTCCAAAAAATTTTATCGCGCATCAGCCAAGCTTTCCTGCACAAAAAACAACATTGAAGAAAAAGTGAGGTGAGTGTTATGAACCCTTCTGCTATCTGAAGATTGCCGGCGAGCTAATTATGTTGTTTATTAAGACTGATGTTTCCGTCTCTTTACATAACCAGTTTCGTATCAACGTCATCAGTTGCCCTCTATATCAAATAGGCCAATGCCATGAGTCAAGTGCCCTACGCAGATGAAAGAAAATTTTGGCGATTCCAGCGTGTCTTCTGTGATAGAGGCCTTAAACTCACGTCAGCCAGAGGGCTTTAGTCACAACAGAAAATCGTTCCATATCTCATACAGAAGTTATTTCTGAAGCAGAATTTCGGCGCTACGATTTCTAACGAGATATTCATACCGATCTCCGAAATGACTAAACTTTGCATGCGGATATTTAATGATCGTTCCTATTGAACGCTGATGTTCCAGCACAAGGTGAGCACATGAGTTAGAGACAGAGATTGATTGATATGTGGGTTTTAACGTCCCAAAACCACTATATGATTATGAGAGGCCACTATATGATTATGAGAGACACTATATGATTATGAGGCCGTAGTGGAGGGCTCCGGAAATTTAGACCACCTGGGGTTCTTTAACGTGCACACGGGCCTACAACATTTCCGCCTCCATCGGAAATGCAGCCGCCGCAGCCGGGATTCGAACCCGCGCCCTGCGGGTCTGCAGCCGAGTACCTTAGCCACTAGACCACCGCGGCGGGGCAGTTAGAGACAGAGAGAGTTATGTAATTAAAAGCACGATATTTAGCCGGCGTGTGTATATCGCTCATTGCTACTCTGCCTGGAGAAGGGGATTGGGGACTGAAAGACAAGAAGAAAGAGAGAAAAAATATTACAAATATAAATGAGAAGAGAAAACGTAAATATACAGACATTTTTTTGTCTCATGAACGGGGACGTGCGCAGACAGAGTGACTTATTACGAGTTATCAAGGTATCACTACAGTTTGTCCCACTGACCTACATTGTCTAAATACCTGAATTAAAGTGTCATTACATGCCTCTGTTTCGTGCAGTTGAGGAAAGCGCCCAATCTACAACGACCTGATAAATTTCATTGGGTTAACAGATGCATACAAAGTTCAAAGAGCGCACGCTCATTGACAAACGCTCGGCACTCAAACAAGATATGTTCTACAGTTTTCGGTAGCAAAAACCTTCCGCAAACAATGCCAGTCATGCCTTCGTAGCTCACTTACTTAATCATAAAAACAATAAAAAATTTGGTCGAAGGCAGTTATGGGTGGGCCGCCATGGGAGGCTGGCGGCCATGTGAATGAGGCGAACCCTGCTCTACCGCATTCACTTTCGGGGAGTCACTGTGAAACTGAGAAGTGCGTGGAGGTACGCTAGGGTACTGAGGCACCACTAGCCAAGATATCACCCTATCTAAACAAGTCCCACACAATCGTCTTGTCCGAGCAGCCCGATGACCCAGACTGCTGCAGTCGCCTCCGCACAGTCAGGCTGATGCTGTTCACGTTCCCCATAAACAGTGGGAGTATGTGTAAGGGAAACCACTGAAGATCACCCACGTCACTCTGGTACCCGAAATTTTTGCCGAACAACTAGCGTTGAAATCTTGCCGAGGCTCCCGAGAAGAGTTCTTCTTGTGTTGTTACCATGCTGCCAGTGAGCTTTGCCGGCTTTGCAATACTGAAGAACCTCGAGGGAGAGGTGCTCGCGCCGATAGCCAAATCCTCGCCAGTCATATTAGCTAGGTAACATCGATTAGGTACTCTCAGACTGAGGTGGCGTTTTGACACCGTGTTGAAGGTCGAACGTGCCCAACACTGCGAGAAAAAAACCTGTAGTTTCATTTTTTCGTTTCCTTATTTCGGTTGATCCACGTGTCACACGTTCTAATAATGGTCTGCTATATGTTAGCTAGTAAAAACGATAGTCTTTCTTGGGGACCTTCGACGGAAAAGTTTTGGTCTGTCTGTCTGTCTGTCTGTCTGTTTGTCTGTACATTTGTCTGTCCGGTCCTAACGATACCTCAAACGGTACCAAATGGCCAAGCCCATCCGCAGCTCCCACCAATATTGCTCAAGGTTTAACGTTCATAGTTGTGCGATTGTCGATTAAAAAGCATTTATTGCGCATATCCCAGGTGCCACAACAACGCTTCGATGTTTTCAATGTCTGCCTTTATACTAGAGGAGGCACACACAAGTAACTATAAAAATGTAGCGCTTAATCGCGCTGCGCCGACAGTGCAACGCGATGCTCAAAAAGGTGTTTCCTACGCTTCGCTACGACGTCACGGTGGTGGCACCTGCCAGTAAATTGCGTTCTACACCTTATCACTTCCGAGACTTGCGCGCATCTTTCTCCGCGGGCTCAACGCCTTCGTTTTGGAAGATAACTGCAAGATGGCACTAGTGTCTAATGTGCCTAGATGCGCTCATTCACCTCTGCCACACGCTCGAGGCCCTCTAATGCAGCGCCTGCAGAATATCATTCACCGCTTTTCTTGCGCAGAACATCAAATAAACGTTTTCTTCACTCTCTCCAGACACAAGACTATCGTCTTTCGACGACATTTACTGTGTAACATGTAGATTCGGGCCAATTTTTTATCTGAATTTTTTAAGAAAGAATAAAAGAGCATATCGACAATCCCTAAATGTCTTCGTTCTACATATCCTGGGTAGTATTGCCCATGAAGGGCATACAGGTGGTGCCAATTGCTGCGGTGGCCGACAGACTTGCAAGTTCACTTTCAAAGTTACCGTTGGTGGCTTTTTTGCTCCAAAATTGGCTGCTTTTCAACCCGCTTGCACAGCAAAATTTCCCGTTGGCGTAATGCTTGTTTATTCACTGCTTTCAAATGTCCTGTTTTACTTTTTCAAATTGGTTTCATTTATTCATAAATAATAAAAACTGCTCATAACACCGCTCCTGTTCTACTTGGTTACAAGTTAGGTGATAAATGTACATTACACGGCTACTTTGGCTGCACTTGGCATGAGTTCTGGCGCCTTCTGAATTCCACCCAACGGCTACCCTGTTCACTTTGCTCATTCATTGAAGCCATGGATGTGACCGTGCAGGTCGATTGCAAGTCTGTGGCGCAGTTCTTGTGCTTTCTGATCACGAGGGGGTTGTCTATTTCTAACTTCTCCCATTCGCAATCAGCGTTGCATGGTTTGCAGTAAAAGTACGTGGGCTTTTTTACTGTTTCAGAGCCATGCTGTCCACATTGGATGAGCATCCCATTTGGTCAATGTTTGTGTCGCTATTGTTGTCCTGAAAGACCGGAAACACACGAATAGTATTTTGGTGCCCTTAGGTCGGCCCATTTCTATACGAATGTATCTACGAATTACCGCTACTGTTAGTCCTGCCCCAGTCCTTCAATACTTCCGAATGACTCCATAATGCAGCGAAATCTCTGCCCCCCCCCCCCCGTAGAGCCTCTTCTATTATTTAGGAATTACCTCTTTCCTTTGAACTCACCCAATTGGTATCATTGTCTTTTTCTTCTCCCCCTTCTCTCGGATTTGTCCTCAATCTCCTCCTTTGATTGGATTGCAGAAGGTACAAAGCACTTACGCAAAAACGCTAAGAAAATCAGCTGTTGAGGAATGAAAGTCCACTTGTCGAAACATTGGTAGCAGCACACATCGCCTGTTTACGAATGCTTCATTGCACCATGAGAGCACGCAGCCAGCAGAAACACGGCATGTTTTCCTGAGCAGTACAATAAAAGATTGTTTCCAGTTTCGCGGATCGGCAATCACTGATTCATGATGATGCGCACGTTCATTGCAGAACTCTCACGACGGCAGCTTCATCTCCCACCGCATTATTTTGCGCAACATATTCTTACAGAACTGTTTCATTATTAGTATTACAGAACTGTTATCGACTTGTTAAATAGCAAACATCGTTTTTTCAAGTTCTTTTAATTGGAAAGCTGGATCATTTACACTGATGCCTGTCTATATGTTGAATGCTGTGGCATTTGGTAGCACTGTGAAAACTCGTATTTTCGACATATTCTCCCGAACAGTCAGAACAGAAAAGACCAAGATGCAACCATAAATTTCTACGTTTTGCATCCCCACAACGATTAGATGCGAGCTTCTATCGTCGCTGGGACTCAGACAGGCGCAATCTCTCAGAGGATACGCTGACAGTAGAGTGCGGATGGCGCGTGGCCTCCAACTGATGGCGCGACCACACAGAGTGGCTGTTGGGCTTTTGTCCGAACATCAAACCCGTTCTTTTCTTATAGATCATAGCCATTGCTAGTTTCCCACAAAAACCACAAGAAAAAAACGCTGGCGGCTGCCTCCCGGTAATTATAGATGTACGAGATATATATCAGAAAGAGATTTAAGGTAATTCCGCTTTTCTAAATCTGATATAGGTCGTATATCTCACTAGCTGTATGTGCATAGCTCACAGTCAGTTTTTCTCTTGTAGAGTCGAATTCTTCTTTACATGAATATGAGCACTATATAACGCTCATGTTTACAGAATCTTGCCCTACTAAATTAAGTACGTAGATGCTTCGTTATCTACTCACTTGACTGCAGGTTTTCAATCACAACAGAAGAGAATAATGGCGACTATACTGCCTCAGGTGCCTACATGTTTCCATGCATCTTTCGCTTCTTGTTAATTAGGCGTAGTGTCATTTATTTTAACCACAATTGTTGGTAAAGAGCAGAGCAGAACGCATAAAATTATTGTTGTCTTAAACCGGTGAGGAGAAGCTGCCGCTAGGGGG